TCATATAAGACAACAAATAATGTTAGAATACTAAAAATAGCTGCATTAAATTTAGTTTCCAATTTCAATGACAACCATATATTAAACATTATCAGATCTTACAAGTGGGCAACCTACCCTATTATCATAATTATACCGTAGAAAAAGCACCCTATATAAGCAAAATAATGCGAATCTAATTTGCTGTTTATCAAAAGGTTCCAAATAATGCTTCTAGTACTTGATTTATAAATTTAAGTTCTTTTGAGTCCTTCAAACTTCTGCAAGTAAATAAACAACTCTTATTATCCTTTAAGCCAATTCATTTCAGTTTTATGATAATCATAAAGGCATTTCACAATCACGAATTGAAAACTTATTCCTGACTTCCATCAGTATTATCTGTTGTAAGATTGATAGTAAATTCAATTTATTCTTCATCTTTTCAAATTCAAACATCCTATTTAGACTTGCAAGCATCTCGAAAAATTATATTTGCCTTATAATTTTTCCCTTTAGTAAACCTCTAATACTAACTCTATTATTAAACTTATTATTTGTCTCTCATGGCCCACATATATTTTCAATATTGAAAGACTTTCTCTATTTATTGCTCTTATCAATCTTAATTGTTCTAAATTTCAGCTATGTGAAGAACCTTTACCCTTGTCTAAAAGAATATGCAAAATCATAAGCTAGTCTGATGAACCCTTTCTAAAAATAATAGTTCTATTTTTGTTTTTGGTCTTTTTTCGGAATAATAAGTACTCCTTAGCAATAAAATTGTGATTTCTTAATTATTATTTTGTATCATATGATTATTTCTTTATTTTATCTTATTCCATAATAATAGTTTATATTTCATTGAAAATTACTGAATCTTAAATTATATTCACATTGTTCAGGGCTATTATAAAATTCCATAAAAGTTGAAATTGTTCTTGACTAGAATGATCCCTTGGGAATTTTTTAATATATTATTCATCAGTATCTAAAAATACATAAATTCGATCTAGTTTGATTTTATTTGATTATTTACCTCTACTTTTAAAAATAAAATACTTTATTCAAATTTTCAATTGATACTGCTTCTAATGCTGATTAAATTCCATGAACTATCTGCTCTTACACTGTTGAATTTAGATATTTTAAATTAGTATTATTATTCCTTATTCAGAATTAAGTTAATTTATATTTATCAAATAATTTTAATTTTAATTTTTTTTCTGGCATTTTTCTTCTTTTGATTAAATTGAAACTGAAATTTTATCTTTTGATTATATCTTGATTTTAAATATATCTTTTTGCGTTAATAAATTTTCTAATTTATTTTAAAATAATTTTGGATTTGGATTGCATACTATTTCAAGCTATATCAATAAATAGTTTTTCTTTAAATACTTAAATTTTTTATCTTAATATATTATTTAAATCCGCCTACTATATTTCTAAATTAATTTTATGTTTTAAACACCTATTCTAAATGGAAATTCTAACAATAAATATCAAAAACTATCAGTTCATTTCAATTGTATAATTAAAATTTTTCAATTGCTTTGTGGTGTTGTTGTTAATTTTTTACCTAGTTATTTTACATATTATCATTGATTATGATATCAGTAGGTTGATATTATTATTGGTTTTGCATTTAGAATCTTCCATTTCTGTTCTAAGCACCACTACACCTGTGATTACTTCTAATCTGTCATAGTTTGAGGTTAATCAAATATAAACGAAAGATTCTTTGGCCATTAAAATTTCATTAATTTCTGCTAATCATCCTTGTTATTATCATGTCTGATCATTATATATCTATCTCTATTTAACCATTGATCATCCTAGCTAACCCTAACAAGATAAAATATCCTGTCAATCTTCAATTCAATTATTAATTTTGAAGAGTTTATTTATTACTTTTAAATCATATAATTCATTACATTCTATAATATATTTTATGAATTCTGCTTTTTTATTTCTCCTTCCTTTCTTACATTACTGTTCTATTATTCTTATTAGACCTTCTGCTCTCACTCTATACTTAGTTTAAACTATTTTGTATTCCCTTTCCTTTCTCGATAATTTAATTTGACTATCTCTTTTCATAACCTAAAACATCTGTAATAATAATTGAGAGGTCTACGTTTAACTATTGTCTGATATAGGTAATTCGTTTTAAATTACTCATATAAAACTATCCCTGTTCTAATTAATAATCTATTTCTAAACTCTCCGAGACTTGTTATTAATATTGAGTGTTTCTGTTCATTATTAGCATTTTATTTTTTTATAATGATTTTATTATGATTATAATTAGAAACATTTTAAAAAATTTTTTCTTTACTCCTCAACAGTTATAGAGAAGTCATGAAGCATCAGAAAGAGGACTACCTTGATTGATAAATTTATTTTTATTATTTATATTCTCTATTTCTATCTATTCTCTTTCTAATTTTATATCTTGTATAAGTATTTAATTATTACCAAAATTAAATAAATAATATTACATTTATTTAATTATTTATATATTGTTTATATAACTATTAAATAGTTAATATATTCATACACACTACTTTAAAATACTAATACTTTATAATATTATTATTTCTTAATACTCCTTCTCTATTCATTTAAACTAAAATATTTTTGAATTAAGATTATCATTTTTTCTTAATAATATAAGAAAATTG